TTGCGAATGCTCACGATAAAATATAATTAATGAGTCTCAAATAGAAAAATGGCTTCGGGCAACAAACGTACAAATAGAACGAGGTGTGAGTACAAATTTGAATAGTGGACTAAACTTACTTAAAGTCATCTCTCTAAATAAAGCCAGATAAGTCTAAGCCGCCTCAGTCAGAGTGCTCACTCGTCCATGTGCAAATCTGAACAACTGTGTCAGGTGAGTACTATGTGATTCAACTTACAAACTATTACAACACCTCGATGATAAAGGTGTGACGAAGGGATGACAAACCGAATCAATGCCAATGACACCCATACAAACTTTGTGACCTTTATCTTCTCACGCAAAGATATGACGAGCAATTAATTCCTCGTAGAATATATGTAGTGCACCCTGTAAATCACAATCGAATACCGAGTTTGCATATATTGATACGACCCTTACGGACCTGGATATACAGTATCCAGGGCCGTCTCTGATCACGCATTGGGCGCGATGGTGGTGGCGAACTTGCAGCAAAAAAATTGGTCGTACCGAACTACACCAAGTATTACCAAAATACCTCCAGGGATCTGAACCATATCCAGCAACCCTGCAACTACTCAGGAGGAGAGTACGCCAACCTGATAATGACAGATCTTGATGTCCTTTGGATATATGGTAGTATCCCCTCTGAAAGTAAAAAGTGTGAAGCGGTTTGATGCCATGGCCCAATTTACGCCCGTCACACCCCTTTGAAGGCGCGCCCGATGCCAAACTAGCTGCACTAAAAAATTCGCCAAAAATCCAATTTTCTTCGGATTTTCATAATAGTTACATATTTATGATCCCAAATAGTTGCTTTGTCATATCAGATATCAATCTGAACTATTTTGGAATTTTGAATTTTTTCAAGCCATGCCCTTTTCAGGAAATATTCGAAAATATTGAAAATTTCTGAAAAGTTAATTTTGCAACTCAATATGATAAAGGGACTATCTGGGATCACAAATATATAATTATTATGAAAATCCGAACAAAATTGGATTTTTGGCGAATTTTTTAGTGCAGCTAGTTTGGCATCGGGCGCGCCTTCAAAGGGGTGTGACGGACGTAAATTTGGCCATGGCATCAAACCGCTTCACACTTTTTACTTTCAGAGGGGGTACTACCATATATCCAAAGGACATCAAGATCTGTCATTATCAGGTTGGCGTACTCTCCTCCTCAGCAACACTCTGCTCAGACTAGAACAGAGCATTGGATTGCACAGATTTTGTATTATCTTAAACTTTCCCAATTTGCTTTTCGCCATAAAATTAATATCGCAGATTCACTTCAAAAATCCTTCTCAAACGTAATTTATGGATCATCATCCTTTTACGAGCTCTTTTGCCATATATGAAGCAAAAAAGTTTTTCTCCTCTTCTCTCCTCCTCTAGTCTCAAAGCCTTCGCAGCCAAGTCTTCGTGCATTCGGAATGAGCAACACCATATCTGCATCCACCAACTGGGACTTTATAGAAGCAAATGAAATGCAAGCGAAGAACAACAATCCTAGCTCCCCTGCAACGGGCAAAAGTGGAGAAGTCTGTTCAGATCTTCGAAAGATCTTAGCAAAACATTCATAATCTTCACCTTTGTAAAACATCATCATCTGGATCCTCTTCTTTCACTTCTTTTACGCGTTTTAAAGACTCGTAGTCGCTCTTATCATGTGAATTTGTCTTCGGGCCGTCCTTTCATGATGATATGAGTATCGTATGTGCCATAATAAATGAAATTCACAACATGGGTTGGGTAATCATCTCACAGATTACAACGTACAATCTCTTGAGTATATTGCTAACTGTAGATATGCACATACATATGTACATAGATGCTACGCATACCTCGTCTGGTATACCTGACTGACAGCATAAATATTTTTGCAGTCTCCTCAAATAGTCACATGCCGACTTTTGTACCATTTATTTGTCATCCTAGTGTTAGGAGTTCACCTCATTCCCGTCGTCCTTATGTATTTAGATACGTATAGAAGAGTAGCATAACTTGTCTGCTTGAGTTACGGTTCATTCACGACATTTCAGGGTTTGAACAGCCACGCATCCGTGTGAGCCCTTGGCTACATGCATGTATACGTGCTCAAGATGCTGCAAGTCCCCTCTAAGAATGTGCCTGGAGTGGCCGAAGAAACCCCTGGAGCAATTCAAATAGCTTTTCTTAACGCATGGACCAAGGAAAGCAAAGATCACGGATAAAAAGGTTCCTGGAGAATGAGGCGTTGAAATCATTCCAAACATTTATCTTCTGCTCTTTAAATAAATACTTTACTCACAAGAGAGATAAGGACACATTCTCTGCTGTAAAGTACCATATTACAAAAAATAAATCGACTGCTTTGTCGTGCTGCCCAGCGTCAGGATTTTCAGATTATTCAAGATTTAACGCATTTAAATGGAACCTGGGCTACAAAATAATGAATCCAATAACAAATGTGTGAATTGGATTCTGTTTAAAATCTACTTACACATCTCAAGCGGATCTATGTATTCTAAATATTAAAATTAACATTTGTACACGTTGTTTGGAGGCTTAAAAATGGCATTTTATTTATGTACAAAGTGACAACGAAGTACACCCATATTCAATAACTCTTGGCACAACCGTTGTCAAATGTTCATCGCATTTGGGGTACAATTGAGTAAGTATGCCTTTGCATGAAGGAATCCATTCCTTGTTAAATATAAAAAAGTTATGCATGCCCAAAAGTTTGAACTCCAAAGTTTTGATCATTTGTTGACGAGAATGCAACCAAGTGTGATAATAATTTGTCAAAATGCTGGAATCTGCCATCATTAACTATTAACTATCCTTTATATAATCTCATCCGTGTCTAAGGAAAATATCTCCGAAGTAAAACATGCATCAGGGTATGGATGCCATTCTTGAAAATGTTTTAGATTCTTGTGCAAGAGATTATTTGGTTTTATGACACTTCATACCCCTCATTTCATCCCCACAATTCATACCTAACACATTTCATTCCCTCGTATTTCCTGCCCCCCATTCATGCTGATAATAAGTTGGCAAATTCAGTTCCATCTTGATTCTCAAAATTAGTAAAAAAAAAAACAAACGAATTCAATGATCCAAACTTAAATTACTAAAAAATAAGAAACAATGACCTGAATAGCAAAATTGATAAAATTTTAAAACTGTCCTGAGAGGTATTACAGTTAGTCCAATGAATTGTGAGAGAATGAAACGTAGGAAGTGTGTGGTGTGAATTGTCCCGACATCGCTTATATATTTCTATCAGTAAGTATTATTATGTACAACGCCACGATTTCCAAGCGAATATTATGCATTCTAGTTCGTAGCAACTTGGAACATTTTGTGCCAGCAGAAGCTCGGTATTATATTATTTATGTGCGTATATAAACTGAAGCAACCTTTTCATCTAGAGACGCTTAAAAGAAAAGTCATAAATTACAGGTTTAATGTCGCAAAACTAATTATCAATGTTTCTTGAGATCAGAAACGATCGTAGAAGTTTGTGGGAGACGAAAATAGATTGAAATTGAGATGTTATTACAACATATTCTGTCCTCAATAGTGTCGAAATAATGACCGTAATTTCCAATTTGTATTAAAGTTTATTTTTCGAATTTTCTATTTGCGCATATGAAGAATGGAAACTTCTTGTGGGTTCGTAAAGTACTTTGAATAATTTAGCACAGTGTCCCTTTGTCTTTTTATTATTGTTTAGGATATGAAAGTCGCTCTGAAACTCAGTAGACCCACCCCAACATTTTCCAAATTGTTAGGTTTGTCAGCTTCCTCGGGATATTCAAAATTCAAACCCATTGTACATACGTACATACTTGCTGCTGCTCAAGTCCAAATTAAATTCAGAAAGAAGGGAGCGAAAATGCAACAGCAAACATTTCACAAGAAAAAGGGTTGAAATGGCTGAATCCAACTCATACATACGGATCCCAAAAAGTAGCGTCTTACAGAAGATAACTATGCATCGTTTTGGTCCCATCCATCCGACGACGAGTAGCACAACCTAACCAACTTGGAAAATTATCAGTATTACCGTTTATTTTCTTTCTTCCTCAAGAGGAAACTTGTCGGGGAATCGGAATGGAAAATCTGAGAAAAAGGGATAAATAAGTTTGCACATAATTGACGCTTGTTAGATACGTAACAAGCGTCTGAGTAGCATCTATGCCCACGCACATTTGTTACGGAAGAATAATTCGCCTTTGTAAGCGAAATATAAAATATCAAAAAGTTGTCTTCATTTTGTTTAAAAGTTTTGCTCGTTTGTAATAATCAGTAAAAAAAAACTAAAATCTCAATAATCCATGAAATGATGGCAAACACACGAGTGATTCCTGCTTAGCACATACATAACTTAAATCCTTTCCCTGGCTGCGCATAGCGTAAGTAATGCTAAAGAAAGTAATGAAATTGCACCATTCCATCATCATCTATAGTTATTGTTGGATAAATGGAGAAAATTCCCGTATTTTGGTTACAATAGTTGAGATGAAATAGGGTGAAACCAGCAGGGGAGCCATTCTTCAAAGTATGGAGGATATTGGAGTTTTATTCTATTTTGAGTTCACACTCGGATATCATCCTCCGCTGCCTATTCCTCAGCCATCTCGTACATTATACGCCCATGTACTTGCTGCCTGATGATACCCTGCAAGATTCTTTAACTTCCCATCTTTCGTTCCTGGAAAAATCCGGGCAGTTGATGTGATGTCAGTGGAAAGGAGTGTAACGCGATAAAGCCGTATCTACCACCCTTGGGTTCCCCTGGGTAATGAGATGACACTGATACCGAAATTGATATGAATGATGGAGGATGGATTGGCATTGTCTTATTTCAAGGAGATTGTGTGTGTGGGCACCAATACAATTTAGTGCTCCCGACAGTAACTCGATTTTTTTTTGATTTTGTAATGTTTGCTACTGCGGTATTGAGAAAAAGTTTGGAGATCTTACCATGGTTTGGCCTTCCCATGGACCCATAGTAATTGTTGCGAAGGTAAACAGTCGGGTTCCTCGTTTGGAGCGGAGGGGGTTTATGATGGATGAGGGACGTGGTGGTCATCCTTCTTCTTACTCATGAATGGATCCACTTTCTACTGGGGGAAGAACTTTGACTTGATTTGTTCTTGGTTTTTTGGGGTCTTGGAATTTCCCTGGGTAAATTTTGTTCTTATGAAACGAATGTATTGCACAGTAGAGTTTGTTTAGCCCAAAAAGAGCTCCATTTCATGATTCAATCATAGTTTCAGAAGTCAGTTGTAGGGATTCTTGAGTCCTTCAAATGTTGTAGAATATCTAAAAAGTAACAAGAAAAAGAAAATTTACTCAAAAATATGAAGCATAGCAATCTACAAACTGTAAAATGTCGATATCGACCGATTTTAGTATTACTAGAAGCATCATACGTGGCCGTGAATGCTCCAGAAATCTATTAACCCCACTTACTCAAGATTTGAGGACCACCCCGAAGCGACCAAGATAACTAAACTCAATCACCAATTCTGTTTCTTTTTGAAATAAAAAAGGTTAAAATAAACATCTCTGAAGTGGGAAGGGACGAACAATTGTCAACTCAGTGACCAACTGAGCAAGTAAAAATCTTTTATCTGCACCAGCACAACCAATCTTCACAATATATTTTTTTGTCACAGTTCTGTAAGGGTTTCATCAGTGATACAAATTCAGCTTAAAAAGCTCGACAGGGTGTCAGTTAGTGACTCGCTTTTCAGGGCATCTGAGACAGGAGTAAGTTCTCGAATGACTAAATTCATTTTCATGGTTGTATTTACTTGTGCAGGTGAATTGTCACAAATTGTGGAAAATGCGGCAAGTATTTTATTGTTAATGTATTACGTATGTACATAGAGCTCATCCGCTACCAACTTGGCTTGCTCAAACAGAAACAACAATGGTCAGAAAAAAACAGCAAAGGAGCTGTTTATTCACTTCCAAAATTAACAACAGCTATCTTTTCGGCTGGCGTCAAAATACAAAAGTCAGGAAGGTCAGAGTTAGAAGCGAAAATAAATAAATCATATTCCCAATTTTGCCAGTATATAAAACCTTTGTCAATACTGGGCAGTAATAAATATTAAAACATGTCGATGGTATAGATACTTCAGGAATAGTGCAGAATATGTACGTAGATACTTCTACGTATAGATGCTATGAAAACAAAATCATTCAGTTGAGGATGGTTGAGATGAGACATATGACTTGTAAGTGCATATTTATGACCACGATTTTATTTTTCATCTCTCTGTGAGCATACTTATGTATGCACATGTATATGTATTTACCTGCTAAAAGATGTAGGTATTCCATCATCCACAAGAGTTATTGAACTTGCACACAAGTTTTCCCAATGATAAAAAACGAAACGAAGCCTTCGCTGTCGCCCGAAGGGAGAATGACACAGTGACCAATTTCACATTACGATAGCCATACACGACGATTAGTAAGGATAAGCCAACCACACTCATATTCAAGCCAAACCAATTTTAGCAGCCCCATTGTGGTCGCACTTGTGCTAAATAGTTATCCGATCAATTTATTTCTGTTAAGGAGTAACAATAAATGAAATTACTCTTTTAAAACTTTTCTAAACTTTTGGTAGACTACGTTTTAGCAAAGAAACCAATATGTTATTCAGGACAGTCTAAGTCTAACAATACTACAAGTGTGAGATTTTTAATTTACGAGACACTTTGTATACACAATTTCTGAGCAGAGTTCAATAGAAAATATTACAACAAAAGAAAATCTTCCCTCTTACTTTTTTCCTGTTTTATTGATATGCACATTATATTTCGCACATTTGTTAAACAAAGCAAATTAACTATTTCCTTATTATATACGCATTTACATATACTTCACTGGTTTTCTTAGAGTATGATTACTCAACTACCATAAAAATGTTAATTGCTACGAAAGCAATTTTACATGAATAAGAAATGTACATACTCGTGTTATTAGCGGATTTCAGTATGGTACTAAAAATATTTTTCTTAATATTGATACGATAAAATAATACAACTTTGCAATTAAACCACAACGATCGTAAACTTTCCTTATTAGTCCTTATGAATTAATATCTAAAATTGAAATAACATCTCGACATATACAAATATGTAACTGTACTTTAATTAAGTATTGTTTTTGACAATAAGATATTATTGACAATGCATTGGCGTGATTTTTATTTATGGACTTTAACTAGTCGTTAAAATGAGAGATGTCGATTGTAATGTCTTCCTTATAGAGTCAAAAACCTTTAAAGTTCATTGTCAAAGGCCACGGTGCAAAATCATAAAGCATTTTCAGATATTTTGCAAATTATTATTATTACTCTTTAGAATGCATTTCCAAGGGTAGTTCATCGTTTATGCAGTTTCATAAATTCATCATATGCACTTCTACCCATTCTGTGGTATAAATATAGATTGATTGTTACATTGCCAGCAAAAAAGTGCCTTAATCTTTTAATGGTTCGTTAGCATCGCATGTTGCATCGAATTAAAACCGAGTTAACCTAGAAAAGCGCGACATAGATCATCAATCTAAAATTCAACCAAATCCTCGTCCATTCCCATTATTACTTTCACGAGGAGAGAAATGTATGCACAATGGGCGCAGAAGAAGAACGAGCGAGCATAAACAATGCGCAACAAGACAAGAACTAATGATCACTCACCAGTCACCACATTCAGAAGGAGACGCTAAACCAAGAGCAATGTCGTTGTTATTGTTGATTATTTTATAAGGCGTTGAAAATTGCAACAAATTATTAGTCGTGCTCGTGCATTTGAGCTGCACCACGAGGTGTTGCTCTTTGTTGGTATCACTATTTTGCATCAATCTTCATCTTGGTATGCTTTGCCTGCATCAATGTATTCCTCCATCGCAGCACGACGACACACAGATAAGGCCACGTAAATTTGTTGATCATTGTGCATTGTCCATGTAAATAAGTAAAAGGTGGTGCTGAGGTTAGGGAAAAGAGAGTCGAGACACCAAAATGCACTCCCTCCCATCATGGCAAGTGCATAATGTATTGTTATCATACATTGCAGCCCAAAATTCAATACTCAATTTAATTCGACAATCGAAGGACCAAATATAGGTCACGAAGACTCACAAAGAAAAGATAATCACACGTCAAAATTTTTGTGTCGCAGACTCAAAAATGAAATCTTGTATTATGATGGGAGATCCACTCGACTTGATGCAAATGGTCTTGTTGCTCAATGTTTTAACGTCATTCTAAATATATTTATACATGCGTGTATATTTTCACATTATATTTTTGCATGCTGCCAATCGCAGTATATTTTTTCAAATCTTGAAAACACTTGGCAAGAGAATAACAAAATTAGGATTCATCCATCGACCGTAAAAATCGATTATCTAGCAATGCTATCTCCGTCTCTGTGTAATTTCTTCACGTTCATCCAACTGCATGTGTATGCTGTGCCACTTTAACGCTAATTGCAAAAATGGTAGAGGAATACTGTCGTCGTGTCTTTGGGCAAATATTTCGTCGCATGCAGGGGAATAAATTTGATCCGCATTCGCAATTTCTGATTCGGCCGCCTTTGTCTCCGACATCGCAGAGGTTGCTGATGAGTTACGACGAGATATGACGAACTATACGACGCACGGATGACAAGAGGATGACACCAAAGGTAGCGTTGCGAAATGATTTAAGATACACCGCGAGATTGTCAAAGACTGATTATTTCAGAACAAGTGCACTCAATTGACGTAACAATGATGAATTACGTACAATGAATAAAATGGATCCATTAGCAAAGTATTGAAATACGTATTGATAAATTTCCTATATTGTATGACACATTTTAGATTTGAGATAAAAATTGATGCGCCGCCGAACTTTTTATGTATGTGTTTAAGTACATTCATTTTATATAATATTTTTGTTTAGTGAGTAGTCAGATGTGTACAAATATTCAGAACATTCGTCAGGATAACATCCAATTTATTTTAATTTGCTGAGTTACTTTGTTTCCAGATACTTAATTCGTTAATAAGATCAGAAGACCTCATCAGAAATTCCTCAGTTATATAAAAGGTAAATTCATGCTAAGCATCATAATATTACTTGTTTAATAAATGCCAGTAATTACTCATTAATGAAGCCATCAAGGGAATTTCGGATGAACATATTAGATATTGAATTCAACAAGTAATGAAGGGATTTGTTTCCAAACCAAAAGTTAAAAACATGCGAAAACCAATAACGAGTCAAAGTGAAATTCACTTTGTATAATGAATCTTATTACTTGCCAAGAGGTTTAATTTTGTCATGTCACATAAATAATGTATTTGTAAATATTTTGTACGTTTGTTTTGTACTGCGTATCATTAAACACCATACATCAAACTAACCACATAAGGATACTGATGTATCGACAGAAAATTAGCCCTTTTTAATAGGTGACGTATATATTATAAAAAATAGTCAACTGTATTTCGCAAAATATCAACTGACCCACTCATTTTAATTTCTGGAATTATTTAATAAGCCATAATTATGTTATCAATTTTCACATTTCACATTTTTATCAAGGTATTTATCAAAGCCATGCCCAAATTTTTACCAAAAGTGCAGTAAAACGTATTTAAGTATTATGTAAATATGTGCATACATACATATGCAATGCATATTATGCATTCCACTTTGACGAATATAGCAAAAATTGCAGCATACCAAATCAGAGTTTGGCTCATTGATTTTTAGAAATCTTTATCATCACGTCCCACATTTGATACACATAGTCATCAACCTAGTCTTAAAAAAAGTGGATACAAAATTATATAACTTTGATGCTTTTTACATGAAAATTCCCACATCACGCATCACCGCATTAGTTAAAATGAAGTCAACTGAATCACGTCCCAGGTTTACGTCCCAAGCCCATGTAAAAAAAGTTAGGCTTATGTAGGCAATCAACGACTAGACGAAGGAGGTTTTAATGTAACATTGAATTGCTGAATTGAATAAAATCCAATCAAAATGACAACCCAAGTTTTGAGGGCAACTAACTCATGAAATTGAACTTCTTATATAAGGCAAGAACGTTCGTCATTTTTGTCGCTCAAAATATCTTGCTAGGCTCTTGCTGAATTCAATAACAGGATTCTTTAAATAGCTTTGTCTAGTCAAATCCGAACAAAAAAATGAAACGTTTGATACATCACTCACGTTTATGTCAATCATGTGAAAACTTGTCTAACTCACTGTTCCAGAAGTGCATTTGCTTGTACCGCAGTTG